CAATAGAGCATGTGTGGGATATGCTTGGCCGACGAATTGCAGCCCGTCAACCCCCTCCCACCTGTCTACCGGAACTTCGGAGGGAATTGCTTGATGAGTGGTGTAATATTCCCCAAGATCAGATTGATAATTTGATACTCAGCTTGCCTAGGCGTTATAAAGCCTGTATTGCATCGTCCGGGAGACATACTCCGTATTAATCATCATACTAACCATGTTATACTGTTTTTTGTAAATAGGTTCTTTTTTGAAATTTGTTCCAGGGAGTAAAAATCGCAATTTTTATTAATTATGTCAAACATATAGCATCTTTTTTGCTCTTTACCTTTTGTTTAAATAAATAGACTTTACAAATAAGTCAAATTTGTTTTGCTTCTGTCTCTTTCTTTGCCTGAACTTCATTATCCTTAATTTATGGACATGAGTGTAAAATGTAGGTTCTTTAAGAAAAGTGCAGGAATGCCAAATTTTAAAAGTGTTAATTGTATATATTTTTTGTGTTAAATTAGATATCAGAAAGATAAAATTTTAAATTTGGTAAAAAGTGTGAATATGCCTCTGTTAGTAGTATGAACAAGTAGGTGTGTGTAAACAGAGAATTTTTTCTCTTCAAAAACTCTCGAAAAAATTCTCACTAAAGGGGGGGAGGTTGTAATGTTTCCTTCCCGCGAGCTTAATTCCCATGAGAAAAAAAATGCCGGCCCTTTTGATATTGGCGGTAAACAGCAGGAGAGTTGCACCTGGACATCGCTAACGAGACGGGCGCAAGGAGAAGGACTTCACACAGAGGGCCGCCACAATGTCGAGGAATAAATCACTGTCAGCGCGGACATTAGCGGTACCTTTTGGTGATTCCTGAATAGGCCGGTGGTGACGAAACTCAAGAACCTGCCCAGAATAAGAGGTGGACCACTCGGAAGGTGAGTTGTTGGTCAACCAGAGTACGATTATCCAGTGAAGGGAAAGATAGGAGGGGCTTCACCACTTCATCCACCCCCTGAAGGAGTGAATAAAAACTGAGGAACGGAGAGAAAAAGGAGGTTTTTTGGAGGACTCTCGAACGAGTTCAGGCTCCGGAGTACCGTAGAAAGCGGTGTGATCAGCGGATTGAAAGTCCCGACTGAAGTCGGACTTTGGTAGACAACCCCGAGGAATCGGCTTCCCCGGACTCTCAGCTCATGAACTTGCGGGCACTCTTGGTAGTCTCGTAGTTTGGTATCACGTGGATAGGTAGATGTTATCCATCCGATAATTACTAGTCTTCCTGGACTAATTTCTCATGGAACTTTGACGTTTTAGAACTATGATTTGTTTGTTCCTTTGTAAATAGTCATATTTAATCAAGACTTCTCTGCGAGAAGTGTCTCTTAATTATTGCTGTATGAAATAAAAGTACTTAGGCCAACCTAAGCTTGAATTATTTGGTCACACTTAGGCCAAGACATTACAATATATGTTGCTATCGTCATTGATATCTACAGAGCTATTCGGAGATTCGGAAAGACACTTTCATCTCCACAGCTGACACGAAATTGCAGAAGCCCTTCGGGTGGTTTTTTCTGGCATTCTTCAGTAGGTGCATTCAACCGAAGTAAGTTAATCAGTGCTTCACTAAGTAATTTGTTTTCTCATACGCACTCTAATTGTATGTTTAAATTTCCTTACTCTTGAAACTTTAAGAAGCAAGATTGCTTTGATTTCACGATGAGCAAAATAAATTTCGTATTGAACCGCTGTTTTCTTCATTGATTCGGGTTTTACAGTCGAACGTAGGTGCAATGTAAAAATGAGCGTTTAAAGTAAGCAAAGGATTTGTGCTTCGTCTGGGTAGGATGTCATCTTCCTTTTGCCGCTAAGTTCATGCTGATTACGTAATATAGTTCCTAGCTTATATCGATCACGTGACTCTTCGGAACGACTCGGTATTTTTGCTTCCCTGCGGATGATGGGTGCGAGGCAAAAATGCGTTTTTAAAGTGAGCAAGTGATTCATGCTTCATCTCGCAAGTCTCCACAAGTTCCGCTGAGTTCATGCTAATCATGTCATATTTTCGTTCACTCATCACTTGACTTTTCAGAGCGGGTGTAGAGTATGCAAAAATAAGGAGAAAAATGCGAAATGAATTTTTTTGCTATTTTTTACTCATTTACGAAAAGGAATTGCTTCCTGTTACCCCTTGTGTGTCAAATGATTTTGTGTGTTGTTTTATTTTAGTGCTTTTTCGTATTTTTATTGTTGTCGTAAGTCTTTTTTGGGGATAATTCATGACTACTTGCTTATTTGCAGATCTTTTAAAAAGACCATTTTCCACAAGGACTTTTTCAGAAAAGCAAGATATTGTAAAGCTTGGTAGACCGACACCAGATCTTCACCTGCTGATTTTTATATCTAAATCATGCAGCCGTCATTTTAAGGCAAGCTGTCAAGAAAAATATCAGTGGTTGCAGATAGAAATGAATTAAATTCATTATTTTGTTGGAACTGTCTTCTGTTTGGTAAAGACATCTGCACTAGCTGGTGAAAGTCGGTGTTTACCCATCTAGAAACCTTTCGAAATCTCTGGCAGGTCATGAGACAACGGTCAGCACTTTTTATTCATCGGTGGCTCTTGCTTCTGTCAGTAAAACAAGAAAAGAAACAGAGTTAATTGAACAGCTCAAAGCAGACATTTCTGTCCACAACCAAACGGTAACGCGAAACATACAACTGTTAATGCGTCTTATAAATGCAGTTCATTTCTTAGGAAAACAAGGACCAGCTTTTAGAGGTCATAATGAGTCTGATGCATCTTCAAATCGTGGCAACTATGATGAGCTTTTGAACTATACTGCATAGTATGATCCTTTGCTTGAACATCCTTTAAATACGGTTATTGTATTTAAGGGTGTGTCATACAGAATAAAAAACGAGCTCAATAAAGCAGTTGCATCTTCACTGTTAGATGCAACAAAAAATGAAATAAAAAACCCAGTTTCATTTTCGTTCTGGTGGACGAAACTACTGACGTATCCAATAAAGTTCAATTTTCAATTGTGCTTAGATATATACATGATGGCCAGATAGTAGAACGATTTTTTAGTTTTTGTGACATTAGTAGTTATCGAAGAGCTCCAGATATAGCAGATATTATCAAGCAGTATCTGTCTAATCTGGACTGTAGCGATAAACTTGTTGCTCAGGCGTACGATGGAGCAGCTGCTTTTGCTGGACATCATACTGGTGTGCAAGTACTGATAATATCAACTAACCCTGAAGCCATTTTCGTTCATTGCTATGCACATGTCCCAAATTTGGTACTCTCGCAAAGCGTAAGCAAAATTCGTGAGTGCAAGATATTTTTAAGTACTCTTAGTGGACTGCCTTCATTATTTTTCTAGATCACTCAAGCGAGTAACATTTGGAATTTCTCATTCACGATCGTGAATACTGTTTTTAGAAATAGGAATGAAATGTGCAAAGTATTTGATGCAATGCTAGATGATGCAGAACAAATTGATCAAGACATTCTGGCTCCAATGATTGGGTTCCTTGTCAGTTTAAAAGATTTTTCATTCTGTTTCTTCCTAAGGGTGTTTATCAAAATATTTTCTCATACAGATGTTCTTTTTAATATTCGCCGCACCTATGACATTTCATATTGTCGAAACAAAATTCAGGAATGCCGCGCAAACATTGAGGACTTTACAGATAGTTTTGAAGAAATATTTGCATAAAATGCTTCTGAAGTTGGGGCGCCAAAGAACAGAAAAGTCCAAATTATCGGCAAATTTATTTTGAAATTTTTGATACCATAGAGAACCACCTCGAATCTCGCTTCCAAGACTTTGGAAAAATGGTTTTTTTGAAACTCATAACAAAAGATAAATTCCAATAGCACAAGACACACTTCTCAGAAGAGGCATTTAAACAGCTTAACGATATGTATGTTAAATACTTTGATAAAGTTCGTCTTAGAAACGAACTAATTGTTATTTATAGCAGTGAAGAGTTTATTAATAAAGACCTCCATGATATAATAAAATTATTTAGTACAAATTTTGCATCAAGTTTCCCCCCAAATGTCACTTCTTATTCAGTTACTGTAGCAGTAGAAAGATCATTTTCGACGCTGAAAAGTATAAAAACATGCGTTCGAAATACAACTGGTGAATAGAGACTGTCGAATTTAGCTCTGATATAGATTGAATCTCGACTTCTGGAAGAAATTAAAGGTAATAATGTTTTTTCGACAGAGTCATTTCAGTGTTTTCATCCCAAGAAAGACTATGGAGTTCATGTTTCGCTAAAACTGAGACTGCCTAATAATGGCTTAATGTTGATTGCTATCTCAAAGATGAGTGATTGGTAATGATGAGATAGGATATTTAAATTTTTAGCAGCTCATGTGCTATGTTTGCACTTTTCTTTCCCTATCAGCCCAAGATATTCTACGATTTCTTCACGATGTTGCTACGGTATTCTGAATGCCGCACAGCATTGTAAAGATATCGGATGAATACTGTAGAGCATCTTGTGGTAATAAGGCTCCCGTATGTTTGGCATGTAAGTTCAATTAAGAAAGTCAAAAATAATATACTAAAATGATTGACCGTGGGGGACGATGGCCAACCCTTTCTGCGGGAAAGTTTTAATTTTATTTCATTTCAGCTGTTAAAAACTAAGAATTACAAAAAAAAAAATAGTGTTCAAGAAAGCTAGCTAGTTTTGCAACTGAATTTTCAAATTTTTTTGTCTGCACCCTATACTGCTGAGTTCTTTTAGATGTCTCTAATTTTTTGGTCACCCAGATGCCGCTACTGTTTAAAAGAAATGCAATTGGGACGGCCGCGGATCGAACCTGTGAAAACTGTTTGGGAAACGGCTATTCTGGCTGTTGAACTATCGACGCGGGAGAGTTCGCGAGAAGTGATAGTAAAATCCTCGTATATTCGCTTCTTTTGTTTTATAATTTATCTAGAGAAGAAGCAATTAAAATTGGATTGATTTAACAGTGATGTGGTTGCTTCGGCCGGGAGTCGAAAACGGGTCAACTGTTCGGGAAACAGCTATTCTAACCGTTGAACAACCGACGCGCGGGAGGCCTGGGGAAATGGTAGTTAAAATCTCATATCTCGCTTTATTTGTTTCATAATTTATCGCGAGATTAAGTAATTAAAATTATTGCCTCATGTCTTATGTACTATTGAGTTGGTTTAAAAGTTATGTAAATGTGTCGACCGAGAGTCGAACCCGGGTCAATTGCTTGGGAAACAACTATTCTACCGATGTATGAGAGGCCTGCAAAAATGATGGTAAAAATCTCATATTTCGCTTCTTTTGTTTTATAATTTATCACAAGAGGAAGCGGTCAAAAAATTAAAAAGAGGAAAAATGATTTCTTCATGTCTTATGGACGATTGGGTTGGTGTTAAAAGTGATGCAATTGCGTCGGCCGGGAGTTGAACCCGTGTCGTGTCGACTGTTTCGGAAACAACTATTCTAACAGTCGAACTATCGACGCGTACGAGACCTGGAAAAATGATAGTAGAAATCTCATATTTCGCTTCACTTGTTTTATAATTTATCGCGAGAAGAAGCAATTAAAATTATCACTTCATATCTTGTGGGCCATTGGGTTGGTTTAAAATCAGTGGCGGCGACTCCGGAGGGGGTCCCCCCTGAGGGCGGGAAAGCCGACACCGTCTCATCAAAACACGTATACAAAAATTATTTTGATTTGAGTATACTTTAATGGAGTATTGAGTGTACTTGTTCTGTTGAGTCGTTGTTTATTTATGATGTTTGTTCTTCCAGAGTCTTTCTTTCTCTTGGGATTTTTCGGGTCGAGGCGAAATTTTTAGGCGAAAACTAGGCCTCTCACAGAAGAAATCCCATTTCTGAATCCATGCTTGAAGATGTCTGCAAGCCGGACTTTTTTTCACATCTTTCCTTTTTCCAATAGGAATAAAGGGTAACTTCATTGTTTTCCTTTTAAAATTTTGTTTTCATTTGTATTTCGGATGAAACGGGATTTTGATCAGTCTGGATGGAATGCACTATTATAGCTTTTTTCTTTTTCTGATAGTTTTACAGGTTTTTTTTATAGTTGTATAAGGCACATAAAGTGATTTCCATCGAAATGGAACGATTAGAACGGAAGTTACAAATTTTAATTCAAAAAGCAATTTTCCAGGTTCTACCGAAATAGAACAAAACTGAAACTTTAATAGGAATGTAGTTAAAAACGGCAAAATTTGTTTTATTGTAATTAAATAATTGAATGAGAGTGAGTTCTGAGCGTGTCTGAATCATCCTTTGGGAATATTTATTCGGTCTATTATCTACATGTTTTTTTTACCAAAGTGTTTCCCTCGTAAACAAAAGAATGTAACATCGCTTGAATAATAAGAATATTATCATAAAGATTTCACCGTCCTGCAAAAAGCAGACGGTTGTAAAAGATGCCAGCAGCACGAGGTGTTCCCAGGTAGTCGCCCTCCCCAGGTACTGAGTGCGCCCGATGCTGCTTAACTGCAGTGATCAGACGAGAACCGGTGCTTTCAGCATGGTAATACCGTTGGCTATATAATAAGAATATTAATGAAAACCGAAAAGCAATTTAAAAATGTTAAATTAGAAGAGATTTTTCGCTCCTTAAGCGAGTCAAAAACCTGCGACCTCTCGCGATGGTAGTTGGTTTGCTAATCGTTATACCATACGTTGCGCAACGATATTGACGGCAAAATTTTATTGCTTCGAAATTTCTCATGTATTTATTCCAGTCTGAATCAAATGGTTTGCTGAAAGACCCGTATTAACGAGTTTTCTGGTTTGTTTACTTACGTTAAAAACCTTGACTTTATCTGCTTGTATGTTGGACTTCCGCTTTGAACATTCCATTGACTTACGTTAGTATTACACCGGATTTTAAACAAACTTAACGTAAACAACGAACTTAAATGTAAACAAATAAAGCAGGACACTCGTCTATAAGTGAATGAGAGTCAGTTCTGGGCATGCACGATTTATTCTTTGTGAATTCTGGGTAAATTTAGATTATTTCATGCTTTTATACAAAATTATTACTGACGGAAGGAAAATTATAGAACATCGTTCGAATAAAAAGAATATTATTGAAAAACCAAAATTGAAATTTGCGGATCAACTCAAAATTCTTTCGCTTATAGATTAAGAAAAAGAAATTAAGACATATAAAGCAATTTATGTCGAAATCGGATTATAAGAACGCAAGTTATGAATTTTAGATAAAATGTACAAACATTTTCGCCAAAATTCCCCCCAAATTGACCATAAACTTAATTTGAATATTTCAAAATTCTTTCACGTACCTATTAGGAACCAAAAACTGAGACAAATGTGGCAGTTTTGGTTGAAATCGGTGATTAGAGCGGAATACTTGAATTTTAATTTTTGAAAAAGCATCTTTTCCAAATTCGGCCGAAATTGAACAAAAATGAAATTTGAATAGGAATTTTAGTTAAAATGCCAAAAGATTTTTTTAAATTTTTTTAAGTCTGAAAAAAAGAATATTATCCGGTTCAAAATAATTGAATATTACTCAAATAAAAAAGAATATTATGGAAAAACTGAAAAAAAGTTGTTAAATAAAAGATTTTTTGTCACTTGAGAGGGTCTCTAACCAGTGACCTCCAGCAATTGTAGTTGATTTGCTAACCATTATACCGAGAGGCTCTTTAGAATTTTATTTGTATAGTTTTACTGATTTGAAATTCCTCACATAGCCATTCCAGTCTGTATCGCACAAAAAATTTATAGACTCCTAAATGTACTCGGAGTAAAGGGGGTAGACAGCAAAATTAAAAAAAAATTTAGTTACAAAATTAGCTAGCTTTCCTAAACAATGTTGTTTCTTTAAATATTTCCTAGTTTTAAGTTGCTAAAATTAAATAAAAAAAAATTTTTTCCACAAAAAATTGTGGAGGTCCCCCTTCACAATTTGCAGCCATTAGTAACGCTTCTAAATTTAAGAGGACACTTGTGAAATTTTGGTGTTAGAAAGATGTGAGGATAATCTTTTTTAATATAATTAATTCCCAGTTTTTTATGGAAGGTTTGAATTCTATTAGAAATTTCTCTTTCACCTAATTTTGTCTCATTATAAATATCACTGTTAATAATATGATCATTAAGTATTTTTTGGTAATAATATTTACAAATTACAGCAAAGTTACTGGGCACATTGTCTATATAGACTATTACAAATTCTGTTTGCAACTCTTTAATTTGTTTTTTAATATCAGGTTATCTAATATAATCATTAGATTTAAAATTATAGTTAAAAAGATCTAATAATGTTTTATTTCTAAATTCATTAAATGCCTCTAGAGGCAGACTATATTTTAATTGCCATATTTAATATAAATTTCTCAATATCTTTTTTAATTCGCTTTTTAATAATTTCATTACTATTAGCTATAGCCAAGCGATGCTTTGTACCTTTACTCATTAATTCTCTAAGTTGTTCATTTCTATATATATAATCGAAATATAATTTATTACATATGATCATACAGAAACAAAATAAACAAGACATATCAAGAAGCAATATATATATACACATATATATATATATATATTACACCCTGGTTCGCTCCGCTCGTCAACCCACAAGAATCACATCGTGATTCTTTTGGGGTCACTATGTGATCCCAGCTCGCTTCTCTCGCTCGCCATACAGTTATGCGTTTTTGCTAGTATTAGGAAATTATGAGTACATTAATTACTAAAAGTAAATTTAAATTATTTTAAATTGCATGAACTCCTAAAATTAATTTTTCATCAGTTTCTACAATTCTGATAGCACAGATATATATATAAAGACCCTGACGAGCGGCTCGCTATGATATTTTTCAATTTTTTTGGGTTTTTTCTGGTTTTTGTCTATTTAGCCATTTTGTCCTTTTTTACTGTTTTTGAGTTTTTATTTTGTGTTTATATGTTGGTTTTGATATATATATATATATATATATATATATATATATATATATATATATATATATATATATATATATATATATATATATATATATATATATATATATATGTAATAATACATCACTTTCCTATCTTTAAGAAACGCTAGTCAAAAAAATTTAATGCGAAAATTATTTCTACTTAAGCCTAAACACACAAATAACTGTCACTTTAACTCTTGAAATCCAGTTTCAACCGTCTAACGATCGGGAATTCCCCTTTAATACTATAATACCCGCTCGTGGATGGTGCAGCCTTCCTTTTTAAAATCATGTAACCTTCATACTAGACGCCCGTTTGGCGTGGTTGTTTCTTTTGTGCCGGTGACTGCGCTTCTGCGTCTATATTTTAAATCATCATTGATATTCCTCTGAAATCATTTAAAACTAGCTGAACTCTATGAAGTAACTTGAACTAAACTAATTTGACTTAAAAGATTGCCTGGCTATCATTTTCAAGATGTGCTACTTACACTGCACATGATGAAATATCATTTATATATATATGTAAGATCAGGCTTATTAAGGAGAAAAAGGCAGTCCATTGTTCAATCTAAGGAAAAGACGAATTTTGTTTAATCTTCATTTTATTTATGAATAGGTTTTATTTCTTCATAGCTAAAAGTCATTTCATTTATTTTGCAGCTCCATGACCAGAATTTAGAAAGTTTTACTACGCCCGGCGGTTGTTGGAATGGATTACATGCTGGCGTGAAAAGGGGCAGAAATGAATGCGCAGAACGCTTAAGTACTTGTGAAGAGGGAATTTTTCCCTTTAGAAACCTCGTGACTCTGTAAAGAAAAAGTTGTAGTCCGTTAATGATGAAATGATAGAGGTATTTAAATGAGGTTCAGCAAGATTATTTAGAAAGTTAAAATTAAAATATCACAATTTCCCCGCAAGAGTCGTACACTTTAGCAGGGTCTCTTAGCTATCGCAAAACCCCAAGTTGTAGCACCTTTAAAAATATTGTTAAAATTTTGATAATGTTTTAATTGTTGGGCTTGACTTAAAAAAATCATCAAAAAAAAAAGAGCAATACGATTTACACATTTTTCAAAGGTATCACAGTGAGCAAGTAAAAATATAAATGCAAGGATATTTAAAAAGCAGAAATATTCATTTAAATATAAAAAATTATTTCAATATGTACACAAAAATTTTAAATTAAATATAGTTCCCTGAGTATCTCAATAAACGCTAGCTTTAGTGTATGTAGAAAAAGTTCTATTCACGATAGTTCTTCAAATAAAAGTTCTTTCCAATAGTAATTGAACTATTGATTTGTTTATAGTGAAAATAATCCTAATGTAAATATTCAATTGTATATTCAACTAAAATTATAAGTGAAAAAAACATTGATAAATAAAAAAAAATACCTAATATGTTTCCAAATAGAAAAATAAGAATATACTTCAATGTTTGATGTCAGTGAGATTTCATTGAGTTTAACATCAGAGACAAAAGTATTTTTTTGTTAATTTGATGATGTGCCTAAGCAACTGGGAGTACTCACCGTCTGGGGCAAAAGTAGACAGTCTTTGTGATTCCATGCATTCTCCAAGAGAGATAATGCATGCAAAACAAATACACAATATTGTTAAACACTGCTTTTTAAAACAGGAAGTCTCCCATTTCCTTTATCATCGTTTTGTTCTTTGGGAAACACCAAAGAAGGAAAAATATGTAAGACTCCAGCCTCCATGGGGAAAAGGGTTTTGAACGGGACTGACTCTGGTACAAAGGGGACAGAATTATAAAGGCAGGACAAGCCTTTTTTTTTTCATGTAGTTAATTTATTATTAATGATTAATTCTAAGTTTATTCTGGAGAATGAAAACATCTTAATTTAGAAATAATATGCACAATTTGTGTGGTTGTTAAAAGGATTTGGTTTATTAATTTCATAAGTTACTTCAGAACATTGCTTAAGCTTAACTTCATATGGGCCAGAAAAAAGGAGGAGTTAATTTCTAGTATTGGGATAATGAATTCTTCATAAACAGCCAAGATCACCTGACTAAATTTCTGTCAACAAAAACGTGCATCATATCTTATTTGTTTTTGCTTAGATAGTCTATTGTTCTTGAAAAGCCAGATACGAGTTACGTTAGCCCAGGTCTCATACAATCATTTTGGACCTAGCGAGACATCATAAGGTAATGTACCAAAGCAGGCAGGTGGATATTTGGTTATCGAGAGGGGAGTTAGGTTATACCATAGTACACACTTCTAATAATTTAGTCCAAGGGCTTTAGGGAAAGTAAGGAATTAACTTTACATTTGAGCTTCCATTAATAATGATTGATTAACACGTTCAACTTTACATTTGTTTGTGGGTGATGGCTGTGGTTAAAAGATGTTTAAATTATAATCTTTAGTACTTTTTAAACGAGAGGAAGTAAACGCAGCATTTCATCAAGTTAATAATTTTAAGGGACTTTGAATTTTGGAAAATTTGTTTAATAAATGGTAAGTTGGAGTTTTCTTACTTTTGAAGAAAAGCCCAAACATGTCTCTTGTCGCATAATACTACCAATGCCAATATGTGAAATTTTTAATG